AAAATTAATTACTTATTGTAAATATAATAATTAAGGGGCTGACAAGGGTATGGCTAGTCACACTGGACAGTTGCCAGATTACAGCAAATTAGGTGAAAGCAAGGAATACTACAGATAGGATCTGACACAAAATCAATGTAACATTATGGGGGACGTGGTCACTTCATTTCATGAAGTAAAACAGCTATTCCTAATCCCAATCCCTGGCGTACTTACACAGAATCTGGGTAACATCGTGAGGACATGGTCAGCTCTTTGGAGTTTGACAGTTTGTGTTCTTTTCCTTAGGCTTTGTTATTCTGGTATTACATTTTATCAACAATGTGATAAAATTTTATTTATTATTAATATATTTATTCAAATAGCTGAAATCATAATGCAGTTAATTGCCCACACACCTGAGTACATTCTGTGGCCACCTCTAGAATTCTTTGCAAATGTATTATCTACATGTACATGTTCTTTGTTGCATCATTAGGGATACCAATACCCCTGGCATCATGGTATGGTCACCCAGCTGAGGTGAGATATGACGTTTATTTGCAAAGCTGTAATACTTATTTTCAGGCTTCAAGCATTTGAAAGGGCATGGGTTTCACCGTAGCTTTATCCTCTCTTGGTTTCACTAATTGAAGTATATGAAGGGGTAGGCAAATCGGTCATTTCGATCTGTAAAATGACCTAAGAGGACTACCAGGTTCATTTCATGGCTGTCAAAAAGACATTTAAATTTTCTGATTTAATGATTTGTTCGTTATATAAAAGACCATGAATTTACACGGCGGCAGATTCCGTTCAGGATTTTGCGCACTCTAAAGAGACTCTTTATAATTATTAACTACTTTCTCTTTGTTCCTACATTTTTTTGCTTGTTGTTGTTTTTTTATTTATTTATTTTTTTATTATTACAAGCCATTCAATACAAAAAAGGGGTTTTTACAGAAACTTAAACGTAACACGGGTGAAATAAATGTACTAAAAGGTCATCTTTCTTTTTATTGCTCTGTAACAGAATATATAGAAAAACTTTAAGTTAACTCCTCCTTATAGGTGCTTATAGGTATAGACACTTCCGTTTTAAGAAGAACAATATGTCACGACTGATGTATAAGATTTTAACTTGCTTTCACTCTGTTTTTAGCACAGGGAAAAACAGTTTACCTTAAGACATAAGTGGACAGCGCTTCAAGCCGATTTCTTTAGCCACCTTCAAAACGAAGACGAAGAGTCTGGTGGACTGGGTGAGGAAGAAGATTACAGTGAAACGGACGAGACTGGTGGAAGTGGTACTAACAGCAGCAACAGCTTGCCTGAAAAAGAGAAAGGTGATGCGAATGAAGCATTTACCGGCAAAAAGGTAAAGAACGAAGGAAAGCGTGAGAAGCCAGAGCCGTGCCCAGTACCAAATTGTAACGACGAAGAGTTTGGTGAACTAGGCGAGGAAGAAGATTACAGTGATACGGACGAGTCTTCTGAAACTGGTTCTGACGGTAACAAGAGCTGGCCTGAAAAAGGGAAAAGTGATGCAAATGAAGAATGTAACGAAAAGAACATTAAGAACGAAGGAAAGCGTGAGAAGAAGCCGTGCCCAGTACCAAATTGTAACGCCAATGTTGTTCACCTCCCAAAGCACCTCCACAATGTCCACAAGTGGCATGCAAAATATGCTAGAACGGCTCTATCAAGATTCAAGCTCTGCAAGAAGTATGAATTTGCCAGTCAAGAAGCAGCTTCTGCTGGAAATCACAGCCGTAAAAAAAGTGAGGAAAAGAAAACCAAGCCGAAGCCTAATCGAAAGAGAAAAATATGTCCTTTACCTGGGTGTATGGTAATTACAGAGAGATTGCCTCAACACCTTCAAAGAACACATAAACTAAAAAGAGAAGATCCGAAGTATAAAAAGTATCTTTCCCTCGCAAATGTTGTTTCTACGGACAAACCTCATGTTTCTATGCATATGAAAGAAGAAATGGGGCGGATGCAAAGGCTCACTCCAGAGTTCGTAGTGAGAGGTGAAGAGCTCGAAGATACTGGCGACAATTCAGAAGACGGGTTCCTCTTCAATGTCCAAAGTTATGACTGTGATGAGAAACAAGACGTATTTGACTTATTGCCACCAGAAAACGAGTTGGCAGAGATGACAGATAGCACAGAGATGGCAAACTCCGTAGCATCGCAACGCAGCATGTCGCTCAAGTGAAAAGAATTATCTGAACATTGGGTAAGGGACTTGAATGTTTACTCCACAAGAAAGAGATCAGAGATGTTTTTCTACCCAATGCAAAGGAAAAATACCATCCTGCTACGATTAAGTCGTATTTGACGAGTCTTCAACACTTCTGTTCCTTTTTATTGGAAGACAACCCAAGTGACGTCAACTTTGAGAAAGATAACATCATTATCCTGCGTGACAAGCTAAAGAAATGGTCAGCGTCGTACAAACGGGATACCACAAAATGTAGATGGGAGAGACACGAGGAGGATGTGAGTGCCTTGATAACTCCAGAAACGGTGAAGGCATTTGAGACGAGCCAGGCTACACGAGATGCCGTTGTTATTCTAGGAAAACTGTCTGGAAAACACAATATGGAAATTACACAGGCTAGGTACACGCTTGTTAGAGACTACCTCATAGCTCAGATTATGATTGACAATGCAAACAGGTCAGGGGTAGTTGCTTTTATGACCGTGCAGGAATTTCGGCGCGCTAAGATGGAAGATGACCGATATGTTGTGAAAGTTCTTGAGCATAAAACAGTAGATACTCACGGCCCTGCTCAAGTAGTCCTGACGGTGCATTTATACAACTGCCTTGATATTTTTCTAAAGGAAATGTGCTCCAAGCTTCCTTGTGCACAAATGGAAGGAAAGCAGCCATTGTTCCTTTCATGGGCGGGGAACAAATTACAGTCAAGCCAGATCACCTCTGCGATTGGATCTATATTTAAGAAAGCTGGAGTGGAGGGTCGAGTACACCATACACTGCATAGGCGTACGGGCCGGGGGGGCTGCAGCTCCCCCCAAAATTTTGGGCAATTCAGATTTTTTGGGCAGCAAGAGAGATTTGGGCAAAGCCAGTTTTTAAAGATGTTTTCAAGTTTTTTATTGAAATAGATAGATATTTTCTATTTTTACCTGAATTTAAAAATGGAAAGGCAGTTAAATTCACACGAGAAAGCGGTTGCCTAGCACGTGACGAGCTTCTGGTTATTAGTAAGGGGGGGTTATAAGTTGATATACATATTTCTATTTTTTGCGTGTGTTCTTGGGCATTGTACTGTACTGTACCGCACTGCACTAGCTGGTGTTGTAAATTAATTAGAATCAATTTCTGCATAGCTTTGTAGAATAATATCGTAGATTATCAACTGGAGACTCTCAGAAGATCTGAGTCACGTGCTAGGCAACCACTGTCTCGTGTGAATTTAACTGGCTCTACCATGGGCTTTAAGTGCCTAAAGCCAGTTAAATTTACGCCCGTAGTTTCGTAAAAAGTTACGCGACCGTGGAAACTGTTAAATTCACACGAGACAGCGGTTGCCTAGCACGTGACGAGCTTTTGGTCATTAGTAAATGGGATCATAAGTTGAAATACGTACTTGTATTTTTTGTTTTTGTTTTTGGGCACTGTACATACTTTACTGTACTGTACTAGCTGGTGTTGTAAATTTATTAGAATCAATTTCGGCATAGCTTTCTAGAATCATATTGTGGATTATCGACTGGAGACTTTCAGAAGATCTGGGTCACGTGCTAGGCAACCACTGTCTCGTGTGAATTTAACTGGCTTTACCATGGGCTTTACGTGCGTAAAGCCAGTAAGATTCACGCCTGTAGTTTCGTAAAAAGTGACGTGACAGTGGAAACAAATACGCATCTTGCATGCATTTTCCTGTAGAACTCTCCTTGTCCCATATTAGACATGTCGAATCCAGCGCCACAGAAACGAAAACGGGCCTATCGCCATCGTGTTAAATGCTCCGAATGCAAAAAAGAAATCGTTGCTGAGTACCAAGACGCTCATGCAAGAACCAAGCATATAGGCAATTTCTCGTACGCCAAATCAATCGCAACTAGGTTTCACTGGCGGCGATGAAACCATTACCAATATGGTTAAATGCAGTAAAATTGACGCCGAAGACGTTAGCTCAGATCTTCAAAATGACAGCCGTATAGATATAGTGGTGGATTCTTCAGATACTGCCCTGGATAAGTCAGAAATCGAGGTGATTCAAGTGAATAATGGTGCTTGTTGTGCTCCAGCTACGTCAGAATCTATGGATGCTGGTATGACAGATGAATCAGAAATCATGGATAAAGGTAATTTGGATACGTCAGAGATCATGGATATGGAAAGCATAGATAATGGTGCCGACAATAGTACTAGTGCTCCAGATACGACAGAAATTGTAGATAACGGTGCTAACTCTGACATTGTGCATAGTACTTATAGGGATATGTCCATTTCAGTTGTCATAGATAATCGTGTTCCAGAAAAGTCACTTAAGTCAGCTATCACGGATAATGGTGCTCCAGGTAAGTCAGATATCGTGGATGGTGCGCACAATTCGTCATTGGATACAAATTTATGTAGTGGTACTTGCCTAACGTCCAGTGATATAGATGAGAGTCCTCAGCAACCGATTTTGAAGTGGTACGAACCAAAAAAATTTGGAAGTGAATCTTTTTCTAGAGATTTCAACCCAGCCTGGTACAAACGATATCCATGGCTGAGCTACGACTTTGAAACTAAGAGAGCGTGCTGCTACCCATGCCAGAAATACTTGAATGCCCATGATTTCACGTTTGACAATTGAAAGAAGCCAGAGCGTCTTACTAAACACCACAAGAGTGAGAACCATCAAACGGCCATGGTGAAATAGATTGATAGTAGAGCAAATAAGAAGATAAATACTTCAATACTGGGCAAACTCCAGGAATCACACAAGCAAGATGTCAAGGAAAATCGTGACTACCTGAAAGTTATCATTGAATGTCTCATGTTTACGGCCCAGCAGAACATCGCCCAGCGGGGTCACAATGAACAACGTGATGGTTTGAGTAATAGCAGTGATGTAAATAGAGGTAATTTTCTGGAACTAATTCACTTGCGGTGCAAGGACATAGCTTGGCTAAAGGATAAACTCGATAGCCAGCTTCAGAAGCATGCGCAGTGGACATCTCCCGTGATACAAAACGAACTGCTACAAATTATTGCCGATCTCATTCGCGAGCGTATCACAAACGATGTGCGAGCCAGCGGATGGTATGGTATCATCTTGGATGAAACATCAGACATTAGCAGAACAGAACAAGTTTCACTTTGCCTTAGTTTCGCGCTGAATGGAACGAAGAAGGAAGCATTCATTGGTTTCTACTCCACGAAATCAACCGAAGGAGAAGTACTGTATGAACTGGTGAAATCCTCTATCACTGAACTCAATCTTGACCTAAAGAACATTGTTGGTAAAGCATTTGATGGGGCTGCTAACATGAACGGTGTACACAAAGGACTCTCGACAAGAATGGAAGAGTGCTCCCCGTTCGGTATCTACGTCCACTGTTACGGGCATGTGCTCAACCTCGCACTTCAAGATACTATGACACAGATTGAACCACTGCGAAACGCTTTGGGGACTATCCAGGCTCTGCACAACTTTTTAGATGCAAGTCCCAAACGACACGCCCTGTTTAGTGACACAGAAATACAAGGCGAGGATCTGAAACTGACGCTGAAGTCATTAAGTGCCACGCGATGGTCATGCCGGTGGGAAGCCGTAAAAGCCGACAAAGATCCGAAAACCTACTCTGAGAGCAGAGCCTTGTTGACCGCCATTTGTGACTTGGAGTTTATCTTCGGACTGTGTTTGCTGAAAGTAATCCTGAGCAACACCAGTAGTTTGTGTTGATATCTTCAGGGGAAGACGGTTGACGTGATCTCCGCTCGTAGAAATGCCGACATGACCATTCAGACCCTACGCCAGTGTCGGAACGAAGAAAGTTTCAACAGCGTATGGCAGTTAGCATCAGCAATGGGTCTGAAAATTAAGAAGTGGCTGACCAATTCTGAGTTTGAATTACGAGAGGCCAGGGCACCCAGACAGACGCCATCGCTCCGCCTTCAAGCCCTTGTAGGTGAACGACAAACGCAGCTGAAAATAGTCGCACCACCGTATTAACACCTACTATGCTTCCATTGACAAGGTGCTGTCCGAGCTTGAGCTCAGGTTTAGCAGAAATGACCAGGATATCCTCTTTGCTTTGGGAAATATCTGCCACAGTGAAACACCTGATAAAGAAAGCTTCTCCTGCATTGCTAAGTTTTACAACATCGACGGCGAGATGTACGCGAGTTTTCGTCATGTGCGCGGATTGGGCTACATGACTGTTTCAGAAATGCTAGAGACAATGCGTGAGAATGATCTATTCGATATGTTTCCAGAGTTTTCCAGTGTGGTGCATATCCTTGCAGTGATACCTGCTACATCGTGTTCAGCAGAGCGATCATTCAGTGCGTTGCGCAGATTGAAAACTTACCTTCGCAGCACCATGGGGCAACAACGTGTCAGTAACATTGCACTTATCAACATTGAAAGGGCGTATGCCAACTCTGTAGTCAACAATGACATGGATCGTATCACTGATATCTTCGGTCGTCGAAATGGCAGAGACAGTTATTTCTTTTAAGTTTTAAAGTGTTTTTTGAGCTCATATGATAGATTCATAGGCAATAATATTTTCACTTCATATGTAGGCCATTGTTAGTGCATCCTATGACCCTCGTTTCCTTCCGACTGTTTTGTAAAAATTTGGGCAACTTGTGAGAATTTTTTGGGCAAATGGTTCACCGCCCCCCCCTGGCAAAAAAATGCCCGTACGCCTATGAGCTCACCAACGAGCATGGGCACCCCACCTTTTTTTCCAGACATTGTAATCAACTTATCATAAGCTTTGCGCGAGAAAAGACTAATCTGATTTCTATTGCTGAAAATTGAATAAATAAGGAAAATAGCAAATACACTGTGGTCTTTTCTATTTGTCGTTTGGTAACCATGTCAAGAAATGTGGTTCAAATTTTAATCAAGGATTCAGCTCTCTGTCTAATTCAAATCCAAAATGTTTATTTGTGTCCGTCAAAATGTACTGACTTTAGTTTAATGCATGTTCTCAAAAGTCTCAGTCACAAAAGTTTACAATTATTACTGAGAAAGCGTTCTTCTAATAAGCACTGAATAATGCTAAAATGGGGCATTTTCAATGCCTGGGTGTACAAAGTTTAAACGAAAATCTATTGTCACTTTTATTTCAGAGGAATTATTTTAAGACCTCAGCTAAGAAGAAATGGCCAGAAGAAATGTGCTTAACAATCAATTACAGCTATCAGTTTTAAAATTTAGAATTGTCACTTTTATTTCAAAGGAATTACCTTAAGCGCGCTCTAATCACAAAAACTGACTGAAATTCTTTTTTATTATTATTGTTATTTTGTTCTTATTAGTA